CAGAGGGCAGGTCTACCAATACAGTGGAATATGCCACTATATTGGTAGACCTGCCCTCTGGCAGGTGGGAAGAACGACACCACCCACCTGGGCCCACCAGTCCCTCGGCCGGCTGGGGGGGAACACTTCCAGCAGCCATCGCCCGCCGGGGACTCAGGCGGCTGAGGAGCTCCGGGAAGGGGACGGGGCCCTGCGGCCAGGCGGCCAAGCTAGCGCCCGTTGTCTTCACTGCTACAATGAGCCTGATTCCTAGTAATTAATTAAACAAATTTTGTAGCTTTAATCTGAAAGCAATCCTATCCCTAAATAATAACTCATGCAGACAGTAACAGTTCTCAACACAATCCAAGATGCCCTTCATTGCAAATATTATCAGTTTGAACTAAGAAAGCTATAGACTGGAAAGATTCAGCCCGTAACCCTAAACACATTTTAGTATTCAGAGGGTTAAACATTCTCCCACTCAACTGGGATCATGGTTTCCTGGAAATGGCTTATTATTTAAATTATTTAAAGCCACTTAATTGTTGAATGGCAGCCTAGCTGCTCTGTCACTTGTGTCCAGAACTATTTTGGGGCAGGAACATATAGGAACGGAGTTCCGGATGGCTTCAGAGTTGGCCATGCCCACTACAGCTAAAACCTCTGTGTGCGTGGCTACAGAGGGAAGGCCTGGAGGGCAAACCCCCCCCCCCCGGCGACTCTGAGGCAGGTGGGCCAGGTGGACCCTGGAAGGATTGGGGAGGCATTTAATTGCCTCCCCATGCCTTCCCCAGCCTGTCCAAGGGCTGGCTTGCTCGGGCTCCCCGCAGCCGCGGGGTGGCCAAGCAAGCCAAGGGAAGGCAGTTTAAACTGCCTCCCCTTTAAGGGCCACCTTGCCCAGGCTCCCCGCAGCCGCAGGACGCCCAGGCAAGTCAAGGGAAGACACAGGGGTGTGGCCTAATATGCTAATAAGTTTCTACTGTTTGGTGTGGCCTATTATGCTAATGAGTTCCTGCTGGGCTTTTTCTACAAAAAAAGCCCTGCTTGTGTCTATCTCCAGGCTCAGTTTTTGCTATGGCCCCACTGATTTTAAAGAGATTAGCTCATGACTTATTGAAGCGGTAAGTGGACGGCGAAAGGCTGCTGTACTGTGGAGAGGTAGGTGTGGCTTAGCAGCTACCGCCTGTATTTGTACTTACAGTAACATATGATTTAGCATTTCTTACTACTCAAGATGTGAGAGGTAAAGTTCAATGGGGACTTCATACAGCTTCTCACTCCCCAGGTTCTTTCATGATATAGGCTTTGCCAGTAATTGCAGCCTGCTTTTGCCACCTGTCATTCCATAGGCAATGCTGTACTAGCAACTGACACAACACCCCCAACTTACGACTCCATTTGCTAATTTCCATTCTCCTGTTTTCTCAAAAGTCCTCTGAGAAAGCAAAACATG